TGATGTGTGGCTGCTGCTGGTCTTGGATGTTTGCAGTGATCTTTTTGATTGTTTGACTCCAACCCTATCATCTGTTGTTTGTCTTCAATGGTTGAGATGCTGCTGCTGCTGCTGTGGACTGATTGTTTGCTTCAGAGTTTGCACTGCTGCTGCTGTGGACTGTTGTGTGTCAAGTGCTATTTGCTAGTCTGCCTTACTCAGGTGTGAAGGTGTACTGCTGTTGTGAGAGGATGGGCTGTTATGCAATGCTATTTTTTTTGCTCTGCTTTGTTTTTCAGTGTTGCTTCAGATTCTACTGTTTTGGCTCAGGCTCTATTCTTCTGCTTCAGTCTGTCAATTTGTTTCAGTCTTCTATGTGTTAAATTTCTTTTTGCAATGCTACTGATCTGTTCTGTTTTGTTTCTCAGTGTCAATTTGCAATGCTAGTGAAGGCAGGCTAGTGTGTGTTGTTGAGAGTTATTTTAGTTGGTGAACTTGCTAGGTTTGATCAAATGCATGGCAAATCAGCTGAAGTTCTTTGGGAACTGCAGCGTGAATTGCATTTTTCAAATTTGATCAAATACATTTTAGTTTGCTCAAATGCATGGCAAGGTCTTATTTTGCCTTAACAATGGTGGCTAAGCTAGTGTGGAGTTGTCTAGAGGTTTTCTGCTATTGGGCCTTGGTGTTACCCTCACCTATGTATGACCAAAGGCCGTAACAGAAGAGTCCATCACAAATCTACTGAGGATGTTAAGAGTATTATTCATTAGTTTTGGTCATTGCATCCTTTGTAGCAACATCTGCTCCATCAGTAGTAGTCTCAGTAGTGGAGTTAGTTGATTCAACATTCATAATATCAACAATTGCTTCAATATATGCCAATGCTCTGCTGTTTGTTATGATCTGACTCTGGTTGTTGTTTTGGGGATTTGGTGCTGGTTGGTCTGTTTTGATGAATGGTTGTTGTTTTGAATGTTTGTCTGCCGGTTGGTCTGCTTGTGTTGTTTGCCTGTCTTTGTTAAATGTTTGTACTAGTCTCGTTGGCCCCTCACCAACTATGGGAGTGATAGCAAATGATAGGATGAGTTAGATGGTGTCAACCTCGTTGGGATGATTTAGCCCATTATGATACTTTTGCACCTCCCTTTCCTTTATTGATGTAATTCACTTTGTACTTTGTACTTTATACTTGTTTATTCCATCAATAAAATTCTTTTTTGTTGATAAAAAAAAAAATCAATCTTTTCTAGAGTTATTTCATCAAGGAAAACAATTATGTCATCCAAATTTTATTTTATTTTTTGAAAAACCAAAGGCGAGTTCTTTTACATCATATTTGTTAAATGTAAGTTATTTTGAACTTATTTTACAGACTTTGAAAATACAACTTAAATGTAGAGTCAAAGTCGTCTTAACTTGTAGTCATGCAAAGTTTTACAAAAATATTAATTGGATTAGTGTTTTGAAAACACAATTTCAAAAAACTAACTTTAAGTTTAACAAATAAGTTTCAAACAACTTACATTTGGAAAATATGATTTAAAAGAACTACACTTTTGTAAATAAATAAAAAATAAATAAAAAATTAGCAGAAAGGAGAATTAGTCTCATTCAAAAGCCATATGTTTCTGCCTCATGTCTTGAGGAATCGAACAGTATAGTGGACAGATAATGCTCTCGGAAGCTGGGAAAAATAACCTGATAGTAAGAAAAATATACCACTATTTCATTAGTTTCGTGAAAATAAAACTAAAAGAAAAGAGCAAAAAAATTAGTAATATTAAAGGTGGATTATTGGTGGTTTTTGAAGATTAGAAAATACTGGGCGGTTTGGGAAGTGGGATTTTAGTGTTACCATGGAAATTAGATATCAGTGTTATCACGGAAAATATATTACAAAATTATGAAAAAAAATTTTGTATTTAATTATTAATGTGTATAAAGTTTACTATTTATTTGTAATTTTTTTATCTAGTAGGTGTTTGGTATGCACTAAAAAATTGTACTTTTTTTGCCTACATATATTTATTTTAATCACATCTATTAACATCTATCAACATCTCCTCTCTACTTTTCTACTTATTTTCTCTACCTTTCTACCCACTTTCTCCACTTTTCTACACTTTTTTTTTATTATAAAAAATCAAAAAATACACTTATTTAGAACATCTCAAACCACTCCTAATAACTATTTTTAACTTCATATGTGTCAACTTATCTCTCACAATTTTAAATAATAACTTTTAAGTAGGGCAATATGTGAATTTTTTTCCAAATCACATAATTTTCTCCAAATGCATCAAGTTAGGATAAGTCATTTTGTGGTCTCAAGGCCCCTTTTGTTTTCAGAAGTACAATGGAAGGATTTTATAGTGAGGGGATTAAGTAAAATTGTTTTTATTTTGATGATAATTGTTAGTGTAAGAATTGTTAAATTATTTTTATATAAAATAACAAAACAAGTAAAAAATATAAAAAAATTAAACATTAATATTTTAAAAAAAAATTCCTAATATATAAAAAATATAAAAAATAAAAAAATTTCTAGTCCCCTCACTATTTTTCTAATACCACCTCCACATCCTTCATCCAAATCCCCCTTCCAACCTCTATCTATATCCCCTCCTCCATCCTAATCCCTTCCCCAATTCTACAAACAAACACAACATTAAATAACCCCACCTCTATCCTAAACCCCTCACATCCATTACAATCCAAAACAAACGGGGCTTAGGGGTGATGCTGAATAACATTATAATTGGTGAGAGGAGTGGAATTCAATGTAGTTTTTTATTTTTTATTTATTTTAGAGTGGGAATTCGATGTTAGCGTTAAATGATAAGAAAATAAGAGTAAAATAATGTAACATTTAATGATTAATGAAAAGAAATTGTTTGAGACCTTCAAAAAAAAAAAAAAAATTTACAATTTTACACACAATGATATGTTAGGATAGGTGACTACTTTTAATTTGTTAAATATCCCATCATTGAAAGCTCAATTCCCTTATCACATTATTATAGATAAATTTACAATTGGTTTAATAATGTGTAAATTTTTTAATAACACATTAATTTCTAAGTTAACTCATAAAATTATAATCATAATGCATAGAGATTATTTTTTCAAATTTCATAAGTGAAGACAATATTTCAAAACAAATATCCATAAACTATTATAATCATCATCATCATCTAAACATATAATAAAAATTAATTTAGTAAAATAAATAAATAAATAAATGTCTAAAAGATTTATCAATTTTACATAATTTTGTCTTTGGAGTGTACAAATAATTTAAAAAATATTTTTTTGATATTTATTTTTTGTCAAATTAGTTTATATTTTATCAAATTGACGATTTTACCCTTGAAATTAAGCAATGGTATCTTCAATTGTTTTTATTTGGAACAAGATTCAAACTTCAGGTCAAATGTGTCACAATTGAAAAGTCAGGGACCAAAGTGACACGTGCCCCAAACTATAGGGACCGTTAGTATAATTTGCCCAATAAACTAAATGTCATAAATCAAATCTATCTACATTTGATAAATTAAAACTCAATAGTTGTCGCTCATCATGTTCAAATGTCCCAAAAAGTACCTATAAAATCAAAAAGTGTTAACATTTTTTTGTTATCATTTTTTACATACAAACAAACTTTTTAAAAAAATAAATAAATAATAGATATATTACCTTATGAGGATTGTTGATTTAATTGTCCTCATTTTTGTGTTGTTGCTTCACTTCATTCTCTTCACAATCATTATTTTGTTGTTGCTATTGTTGTTGTTCCACTTTAATATTTTCATTACCAATGTGTTGCTCCACTTCATCCAATCTTGTAAACAAATCATATCATTTTCAATTTCCTCCAACATACTATCAATGCTCTCATGTCTGGAAAGTCTTTTTAAATTTTTTTTATGAATTTCTTGAATAGGCCATGAGGTTGGAAGTGTGTTTAGCATGAACTAATATTGCAATGTGGGGCTGGAAACCTTTTCTCTTAAGCTTACAAAACACTTGCTCTTTATGTAACATACGCTATCATGCCTTTAAATTTGGAGTCATCCGCCTTTGCTCAAGTTTAATCCATAGATGATAAACTTCACGCTCCTCCTCCATTAAAGCATCCATTAAGTCTGAGACATCTTTGATTTTATGCTTTTGAAAAATTGTTTCCTTTACTTCATTCCAGCTCGATAGTAAAAGGTCTAATATTGTTTCCATCAAATTTTTTCACTTATTTTTCCTCCTAATTTTTGCATTGCCCGATATATTTAGATTTTTCAATCAACAAAATTTTCTATTGGTAAACCCTCTTTATGTAGTATAGTTTCCCATTCATTTATGGCATTTTGCATGGCCAAACGATCACTAAGGCACAAATTTAGACGAGGCTGCATATTTATCTGCATAATGAATTTACCACATTTAACATACAATTACATAATTTTAGTCAAGTTTTTTTAATAATAAACACATTTATTATTATTTGAGTAAAATTTATAACGGGTAAATTACAAATACACCCCCTGAGGTTTACTTAAAATACAGATTGTCCTGTGGTTTGAAAAATTACAAATACCCATGTATTAGAATTTTTTATTTAACAGAATTAACTAAAAAAATAAAATTCATAATTGCTCTCCTTTACAATAATAAAATTACCTAAATTATTAATTGAAACATATTTTTAATATCATTAAAAACTATTAATTGACTTGATGATTTATTAATAAAATGGGCGATTTGTTATGAAATTAGAAATCTCAAGGGGTGGAATGTAATTTTCAAAATCACAAGGGGTGATTCGTATTTAATCAAATCTCAGGGTATGTACAGACAATTAAATTAAATATAAACATGTAAATTTCAAATGCAAGAGTAAACATGTAAATTAAATACAGACAATTGAACTTTATTGTATTACAAGAGTCTGATAATAAAAAAAAAAACAAAGGATAAAAATAAAAAGATAGAAATGTAAAAAAAACACAAAACAACACAGCAATTTATTCTCCATTATGATCCCGCAAAACCTCGTCACCTGAAAGGGATAACAGTTATAAGCACATAGCAGAGTGAGAAATATTATACTGTGAGTATAGGGGCACAAAATAGTCATGGATATTTATTTAAGCTAAAACATTAACATAATTTAAGTTGAATACACAAATTAATTAAGTGGCAGAAACTGAAATAAATAACTATAATCACGGTACAAAACAGAACATAACGGGGGTCACTAGAGTGACAATCAGAACAGGGGTCAATGGATCCATGACAAACAGGGCACCACAAAGTGGTCAAACAGGGGCCTATGGTTATTTAAGTCCCCCAAGGCATAGGACTCCCGTAGTAGTGCTTACAGAAAATAATTATTTACCAGATCATTATCAAATAATTTTTAAAATTTAAACAAACATATTCATGGGTTTTAATTTAAGCAAATGGAATTCAAAAGAAATAATCGATGTAATTGAAACATTAACCTAATCATAAACATAAATTATATAAAAAGAATTGTGATAACTCAAAACATTTGTAAAATATATTAAGGTAATTCAAGACTTGTAGAAAATACATTATAATAACTCAAGGTATAATAAAACTCACCTTAAGATTAACCCTTAACTTATAATTTTGTTATTACAATTCCAGCTATTCCCTCACTCTTCGAAGCTACACTGGAACACTACGAATAAGCCTCAGAATTCTTTAGAGTTCACTGAAGAGAGTCCCCTCTATTTATAGTTGAATTTGCATGGAGTGTGTGCATGCATGGAATGACGCGTGGCATGTGCTACGTGTCCCTAGGCCCACCGAAATTACCCTCGGTTTTAACCCCTGTTTTACCAAGAGTTTGGCCCTCGGGTAAAATATATATATATTATTATTATTTTTAATTCCAAAGGTTATGATATCTTTGGTAACAGTCTTAAAAATTTCATATAATTATATGTTAGGTTTACATCTAAAAATCTTACGACTAAATTATAAAATATCACTTATCGCTTATCGAAATATTTAAACATGAGATGTTTCACAATTTATTCCCTTAATAATTTAATCGATAAATTCCTAATTTCCTAAATTATGTATTTATTTATTTATTATTTATTATCTATTTATTTATTTGAGTTCTATTTATTGCAATTTAAATTTAAAACATAAGAAAATTTCGGGTGTCACACACGTGGTAGAGCTACATACAGCTGGCCATGAGAGAAGACTGGATTCGAAAGATAAAGGCCCACATTTTTTAAAGTTTTCCTTTCACTCTTATTTATTGTCATAGCGAATGCCAACTTTATTGGAAATTGCTTTCTTTTCATTGTAAAAAGAGCATGATTTTTGGAAGGTGTTAAAACAATATGTAAAAGTTGTACTTTCTCACCAACTCTAGACCCTGTAATAACTCTAGCTTTAATTACTCGATTTACCATCTTATCAACAATTAATCGAGTGCCATTGCATAATCCCAAAGATTGGGTGACATTTCTTAGAAGCATTATTGGTGTTCCAACTTTTAATTGCAAACAATGATTTGGAAGTCCTGGTAAATTCAAAGAATGCAAAAGTTCAGGAGGGTTCATGTCTTGAACGTTGCTCTCACTTTCTGTTAGACACAATTTATCAGCACTGTTAAAAGTTTTCATCTCTCCAGGAAGCATCGAAAGCGTAATAGAATTGATTTCATCAATATCACTATTCTTAGGAGCGAAAATGCCTCGTTCTTTTAAGTACGACATATCCTGATATTTATTTATGAAATCAAGATAAGTGGCATCGATTAACTAGTGCAAATCTCTTTGTCCATTTTCTTTAACAAATTTTTCTGGTATCTGTATCCAATTAGGTTCATAGCCTTCACTAAATGAGCTTCCCATTATTTTCCCTTCATCAACCAATTTAATCCATTATGCAAAGTCACGTAATTCATGAAACGTATGATCAGAAATATCTTATGCTGTAACAGGCATATTTATGGTAAGATGCAAAACTTGACAATGCTCCCAAATTGTTGACTTAGGTAATTAAACTTCCACTGTTTGTTCACGCCCACCTCTAAGTATAACAGGCAATATCTGTCTACAATCACCACCAAGCACAAATAGTTTTCCACCAAAAACCCTATCTTCTAAACAATGTTCTGTATTTTTCAATATCTCCCTAAATGTATGATCAACAACTTCAAAAGCATGACAACTAACCATTGGTACTTCATCCTTTATAATTAATGACGCTTCTTGAATTAACTTTGCCAAATCTATCCCTTGATTTATTGAACAACATGATGAGTTATCAGGGTCAAGTGGAATCTTGAAATAGGAATGGGTAGTTCGTCCCCCGGGTAAGAGCAAAGCTACAATACCTGATGATGCAACAGAAAGAATGATCTTCTTATTGGATCGAAATTTTGCAATTAAAGTGTTTCATATATATGTCTTTCCAGTTTCTCCACTACTATACACAAAAAATAAGCCCCCATGATGAGTGGAATAAGCTTCCATTGTGGTGCTAAATACTTTCAATTGGTCATCATTCAATCCCACATATAAAGATTCAAAAGATTGCATTTATGAAATCCTATTGTAGTTCAGTTCCTCAATTATGAGCCTATTAGTGACCATTTGACCTGATCGAGATGATGGTAGTGGCATCGAATGAAACTCTGTAAGAGACCTTCCATTTTGATTTAGTGTGTGCTCAATTTCAAGCAATCCTAAAATTTTGAATTCACATTCTTCAAGACGTATATTGTTACCCCCAATTTGCCTTCATACCCTATTTTGTAAACCATCAGTAAGGTCAAACCAATGATTCTCCCACAATTCATATACATTTGTAATGTCAGAAAACATTGGCAGTGAGCAAAACATCGCAATTGAGCACCCGATGCCCAAGTTGAGGCTTTTGTTAAAGCTACGTCCCACTCATTATCATCATCAAGTAAGTCAAGTGCAAGGCATGCAGATTTAAGTGTTGGGTGCACAATGCCATTAACGGTTCTAATATCTTCATAACATTTTACACCTCAAACCTTGGTAAGCAACATACGTAAATAATATCGTTCACCAGAATTAGGATATGCATAATACAATCTACCTATGCATATTTGTTGTTGCCTCATTTTCCATTTCTTCTGTTTCTGGTTCCAAACCCATGAGCTAGGAAACTTTTCATATGTTAATGCATTAGTCTCCACATGATCTCTGTTTGCTTGAAACCACCTTGTAAACATTGTCTCGTGAACCCCAGGCTGATTAATAATTGATGGAATGTTATATGTGTCTCTAAATAGAATAGATTGTTCCCCAGGTAGATGGTACTGTAACCGTTCAACTGAAGGGTATTGCTTTTGCAATTCAAACTCAAATATACGCCAGCAACTTTCAATTGCGGAGATATATCGACAATCTAAGTATTGTTTTACCTCATCAGCCTCTCTATACCGACTTTGTCCATCAATGTTAAGTCGATTAACATTATCTTCAATTACAACCGTTGCACAATCAGGACCTTTATGTATGTACTTATATAAGTACTTGATCAATTTGTTGTGTGCATAACGCTCAATATTGATATAGGCATCATACAGTATAATAAGATCACGGTTGTATGGAATAAACCATCTGTTGTCAATTTCAAATCCATACGCCTTCCTGATAGAACAAGAAATTGGTTATTGCTCCTTTACTTTTAAAAACGAGTATACACTAAGACCAAAGTCTTATCCATTTGTAGATGGAGCTTCAATAGCAGCTAGGTCTAGAGGAAAGTTATGAGCATTACGTTCATGCATAACTTCCATACCAAGGTTAGCACGGTTAATGATATCAGCCCAAGTATTAATTACACGGCCTTGACTATCAACTACAGATTGGTTGAAATTGAAACCATTTAGGTTAAAAGCCATAGTGCTGATACCTAAAGCAGTAAACCAGATACCTACTACAGGCCAAGCAGCTAGGAAGAAATGTAAAGAACGAGAGTTGTTGAAACTAGAA